TCTATCTGACTAAAAATACCTAACACTGCTGTCATGCTGTCAAACAGATGGGAGCCCACAGTTACCCAGAAGACACTGCTCTACTTGCCCAAAATAACCTGAAGTACAGTAAAGCCAGAAATGGGACAAGCAGAGCACATGCCAAAATAGAGGTTGCTAAAAATACTTTTTTTTATTTGTGAGTCAGAGGCTAGTGCATTTGTCTGTCTCATCGCTATGCAAGTCTCCCCGGATTCTCCCGATTTGGTCATTTCCAATTATGGCAATTTGATAATTACATATATTTGTGGCCTCAACAGCAAAAGAGAAGTTCAACAGAGCAAAGGAATGTAAAGTGGGATTTCAGTCAACTACACCCTTACACACACTATATAGATTATATTTCTCCCCAACATTAAATAACAGTCATGTTTTTGTGACCAATGCTGATAAATATCATAACTGCAGGTAAAGGGTCAGGTCCGATACAGAGCTTTGTGGGTATGGGTTTTCAAAACTGGACCCATGTAGGACTCTGGGAGCTGTCATTACTCAATCTGTACTGCCCACACGATTTGTTCTATGCATCCGTAAAGAAGAAATTTACGGCAGTGTCGCCTCACCCAATCATCTTGCCTTAGCCTTAACCACTCCAGAAGCAGCCGCATTTTGCGCATGCATAAAATAGATCCCGTTTCCAGTACAGATCAGGTAGCAAAAGCGACAGGAGCAACTTAAGGTGTCACTTTGTTTTGAGTCCCTCTAGTGCCCAAAGAAAAATTAGGTAGAAGAGCTTTAATATTAACATTGATTACCACAGCTTTAAACTCTGACATAGCTTATTTAAGTTGTGTCCATCTAAATCAGAAACATCGCACTGTTGCATAAACCTTTGCCTGGGGTCTTTACCCTTGCTGTGAAATATTTCTAATAATACAACCAAAGTGTTTCTCACTATGAACAATTACAAAACAACCAGGAGTTGCTACCAGTAATAATTTCCTGAAATAAACAAACTAACTAACAAAAAAAGCAAATTCCAAATTGTAAGCAATTATCACTACTACACAAAAATCACTGAAGTGGAAATTTCTCCTATTCTGTTCAGTGGGAATGGTTGTACTGGTGCGGTTGTATGAAGAGCAACAGGTTTGTGTGTCCTCACTCCCAAGGTAAACATGACGACAATACCCGAACATGAGCTTAGTTACTGTGTTGCACCTCTTTTTTTGTGCCAAAGTAGCTTTAGAAGAATCAAGAGTGAATAAAACACCAGACTGAACGGAGCAAGCAGTATAAAAAAATGAAAGAGAAATGATGCCTCTATGGGTTTTGTCTTTTTTTCTGATCTGGTTTCTGGCATTGCTGACTCTCTGTCATTGGAGTGTCACACACACAAAGGCGTGGTCTAGACAAATTCCTGAAAAACAAGACACACCCTAAACTCAGAAAATAAAAAAGGTCATCTTTCTTAATAAGCAGGAGTTTTAATCATCAAGTCAATGGGCAGATGTGATTAACTTTGAGCTCTAAAAAACATTTCATTACAGTTATTTTCTAAAATTGCCCCCCCCCCCCCCTT